TTTCGCACAAACTTATAAGCATGCTGATTTATTCGCCCGCATATTCATTTATTTTATTTAGTCAACCACCAATCATCTGGAGTAGCACGCCAAGGAACTGGTAAAGAACATCTCCAGCTTTTCATTGAAACATTTCTCCTCCTCACTGACTTACACATGTCCCTGTTCACTCCCTCTCTCCCTCACTCACTCCTTCCTTCACTCACTCACTCACTCACTCACTCACTCACTCACCGATGTACACGTTCAGGAAAGCAGGTGCCAGAACGGACGATAAACGCGTTGGCGGTACGCTAGCCCATTTGTACACTGCATCTTTTAGCTCTCGTGTCGTGGCCGGCGATGGGCTCGGCGAAGCGCCCGTGCGAGAGAACCTCGCGTCCGCTTTTCGCGCGTTGCAAACTTATTGTCGCCAGTGCGCGTGTAGACGTGGACGCTAGCTAGCGCACATGCGCAAATTGGCTCGTTCTTCCTAATCAAACAGAGCCCGTACCTCCTCAACGCCGGGGCTGGCTCGCAGCGGGCGTAAACGCAAACGAGCGCTGGCATTAGCATGACGGCGCGTCGTGAGGCCCGCGGTTTTCGCACTCCTTCATAAACCTAATTAACCGCACGGTGCTCGCGCGGCACGACGACCTCCCCGGTTTTCGGTGTGCTGCTGCGCCTCCGTGTTCCACGTTGTTTCTCCAGGTGTGCTAGGTATGTTACTCGAACCGCCGAAACGTTCGTCCTCTTGCCTCGAGGGCCCCGTTTGCGCTACGCTGAAACCGAATGAGCAGTTTCTTTCATCCTCACAGGGCGCTGAAAGCGGAAGCAGGGTGGAAGGAGTCGTAGGCTTGAGCGCTGCCACACTGTTTTATTAGACCAGGCGTCAGGTTAGCTTTGCCAGTGGTGTCTATAGGTTATACTCATCTACCTCAAATGAACATATCATTTTGCGCAATACGTGTTGAGGTGTCTGTTTCCGAGGGCTATAGTCGACGGAGCTCCGACACCGTTCTGTTCAGTAAGCCTCCTTCGTAAAGATCGCAAAGGACCATGAGGAAACACAGGCGAGGGTAGAGAGGAGGAGAAGGAAGGGAAGGAAGAGGGGGGTGACATTGCAAAAACATCATTAAAATAACCACGGAGACTGCCTTAATAACCTTGCAATAAACATGTCTTCAAAGTATCGTCTGTTTTCGTTTTCGTTCTTTTTCGAAGAAAAAGATTTTAAAAGTTTCTTATGTTGTCTGTGCAAGCACGCTTCTTTCTTACACACAGGCCGCAACTGTGCAATATATTATTAGTGCATTTCTTCGTTGTTGTTTGTAACAACCGTTTACGCCAACATCTTGAAGGTGGCCAAGGCAGCCTCAAGCTCATTGATCAGCTTTTTTTCTCTCTAATGCACTGCCACAACACTATTGTTGTAAATAAATCAATCAATGAAATGTAGACAGGTATGGCGTAGCAAAGGTGCGAGAAAGGGAAGCGATGGGGCGGAGGAGAAGAAGAATGAGAGAGCGTTAGAGCATCGCAGAACCATGTGTATGTCGGCCTACTCATGTGGAGTGTGGTAGAGCAAGTTGTGGGGAAGAGAAGTGAGGATAAATAGGAGTGATATGAGGGTGAGAAGAAAATGGGAAGGGTAAATCATAGCATCAACAGTATAGCATAGGCGCGGGTAGTATAGTAATGTGAGTGGGAAAGGGTAGAGTGGGTGAAGAGAAGAAAAGACAAGGGGAGAAGGTAGAGCATAGCGTAACCGTATGTATCGCCGTAAAGCAAGAGAATAGGAAAGGAAGATGAGAGTGAGGAGCAGAGATGTGAGGGTGACGTAGAGAGATTAAAGGGGAAGTGAAGCTAGCATAGCTCTGTATAGAAAAGGGGGGGAAATGGAAATGAAAGGTACGAGTAGTTATGTGAGGGGGATGTAAAGGGTAAGAAGGAAGAGAGGGGAAGTCACTGCATCGAAAAACGTTATGTTCTTTTCCTGCCATGCATGCCGAGTGGTTTGCACGCTTTGAACGCTAGCGTTCTCATGCTGAGCGCGAGCGTTGCCGAAGGACTCACTGAACGCGATCTTCGCTGAAAAAAAAGAAGTCTCTGCTCCTCGCTTTCTGCAGACATTACCATGAGGGAAACTTCAATTTCTTTAGTGTGTATTCTTTTTTATTTGCAATCCCCGCCACGTTGCACCTTTGAGTTACATTAAGTCAGATACCTTCCATTCTCTGGTGGCATTAATGAATCTGTTGCCGTTAAGGTATCGAACGAATGCTTTTATGTACAGGTGATAATGTTCGCACTTTCGTTCACCAGACTCTTTTCGCGGGCTCGTCGTACTTGCCGCTGGTTTACTGGCATTCTTCGCGCCAAATACTCGAAACTCGAATTACAAGCATTCGACAAGTACACACGAGCGCATTATATAAGGCAGTAGTATAGAATATGCCTCCAAGCACGTGGCAAGCCTTTCCTTCTTCACAACACATATATATATTTTTCAGGAATGTGGTACCTTAAGAAAGAAGTCAAAGAGCAAAATCTTTGGTTTCTTTCTTTCTTTTTTCTCTTTCTTTGTTTTTTTTCCTTCTTTCTGTTTTCTTTATTTTTCTTTCGCTATCTCTCTATTTCTTTCTTTTCTTCTTTCTTACTTTCTTTCTTTCTCATCTCTTGACGCTCTCACTAGTCACACCCCGTTTCTTTGTCTCACAGACGCAATTCCGTATCGCGATGACGCTCTTCCTTATACCAGCACTAACGGCCGATATAAAAGAAATCATTACTTTAATTCAGAAGCATTTGATTCAGCGAAACAAATCAGCGCTTGGTTGACCAAAGCGGCCAGTACCACGAACTAGAAGTGCGTCATAAATCGTCTGCCCACCGAAGGTGACAGCAGTGAAACGTAGAAAGTAAAAAATAAAAAAAATGAAAACTATGGCCGCAGGAATAGAGTTTTAGTGTCGAGAATCAAAGAGTGTAAGTTACAATGCTTGCAGGCGCAGAACGAAAGAGAAAGAGAGCAGAGAGATGTAAAGCTAGCAGGTGCGGAAAGCTTGGAACGTGATCAACGTTGTGCGGTACACCTCTCGAGGGCGCAGTTGTATACGAAAGGTGGTGCTGGTAGTCCGTGGACGCTGAAAAAAAGGGGTTATGCCAGGCTGGTTTAAGCGGTACCATGGGCGGGCGGGCAGCCGCAGGAGCCAGGAGCAAACGTGAGGCCTGTCCAGTGGGTCTTTGCCGTGCATCCTCCAGATTTACGACTTCCGATGGCCCGACCGAGAAGAATGGCCCGACGCACGGCTGTCCCGAAGTGAAGGCGGCAAGCAAAAAATACGAAACTAACGGAGTCGCGGGTGCTTCGGTCAAAAGCTGTATTTTTCTCTCATTTATCGTTATATTACGCAAATAAATAATGAAATATGGGCACCCAGATATGGCGTTGTCTGCTCCCCCCTTTTTTTCCTGGAAGCGAAGCTGAAATATATTTTGAGTCGGCGTGACAATACAGTGGTCAAATGGAATGCTTTATGAAATGGCATTATAAAATGAAGGAATAAAGCGATACGGAAGTCAGCTTTCCATTTTGATAAGGATAGAGAGAAAAAAAAACGCGGCAGAGGTAGATAGATAGATAGATAGATAGATAGATGGATAGATAGATGGATAGATAGATGGATAGATAGATAGTTAGATAGATAGATAGATAGATAGAAAGATAGATAGATAGATAGATAGATAGATATATATATATAGATAGATAGATAGATAGATAGATAGATAGATAGATAGATAGATAGATAGATAGATAGATAGATAGATAGATAGATAGATAGATAGATAGATAGATAGATAGATAGATAGATAGATAGATAGATAGATAGATAGATCACTTTATGACCTGCGGTGTTGTCAAAAAGGACGTCGTTGAATTCGCTGAACTCCCCGGGGTAAGGCGTAAGCTGTGCGCCAGAGGTTATGTGATCTCCTCCGACCCGAAAAGCCATACTAACCATCGCGTGGCGCAGTCAATCCGAGTTATGAACGGTTCTTTTCCGGCACGTGCATCTGTCCTCACGACTGCAGCGCCTGGGGACGTCTTTGATTATATGTTTATTACGTGCCTCGCATCAATTCACGTGGCCCATCGTCGTCAAAGGGCATTCTCTGCGTGCCTCACTTCTATGGTACTGTGCGTCCGCGAGATTGAGCGTCGTGACTGATGAAAACGAATGCCTTGTGGGTATGCGGAAAGCCCTTACGTACGACAATCGTCACTCTGTGTGCCGGTGAAGCAAGAATCATTTAAGGTTTAATTGGGAGAACAGATGTTGTATGCATTTCCCTTACCAATGTTGCGGCATCGGCAGGAGAGCGAAGAGTGAGAAGTTGTGGTTGTAACGGCCTCGACGAAAGCGAGTGCTGTCAGGAAAGAGGCTCAGAGACTCGGAACAGCTACGCCCAACGTAGAAGCTGAATATTTTGTCGTTGCTCTATACACCTGGAAGTGGAAAGAGAAAAATGTTCACCCATTTCCTCTGTTTGTTCTGATATGTCTGCGCATTCATTAACTACATCATTCGACTCTACTTTTATTCGCTATTACTAGGCACCAAAATTTTAATTAGTTTGATTTCCTCTGCTGAGACAGGTGAAGTTGTTCGCTTTGAAGCTCAAAGAATGAAAATATTCGGTATGTAAATGGTAGTATTGCTACTAAAGTCACTAAATGACACATCTTTCTGCGATCACTAAGCATTTTTTTTCTTGTTCTCTGCAAGTGCTGCTTCATAATTAATGGTCCGCTTTACTGCCGATCAGCACACCCGTCTCGGTAGAACAGCGGTTGCGGATCTCTGAGCCGACCCAAAGGTAGCCCGTTCGATCCTGGCCGTGGCGATCGCATTTCGGTGGATAGTGAAATGCTAGAGGATTTTCCTCTGTACGATAGCAGTGCACGTTGAAGAAAATCCGACAATCTAAATTTCCAAAGACCAGCACTACGTGCTTCATATTCATGTCGTAAAACCACAGGTATAATTGTTATTACTGCTGGTAAATGGTGCTTGGGCGTTCAGGCATGCTAGTATTGCTTGCGCATTGGAACCATTGCACTTAATGACCGCACAGCCTACACTTCATGAAAATTTTGTACCCCTGCAAAGCCACAAGACATGTTTGTGTAAGTGAGAGAGAAAGAAAGAGTAAAAAAAACCTGCGCTTCAAGACCAGGGCAAGCAGTGATGGCAGCGAAATCAAGAACTTACAAAGTCTAAAAAACACAAAACAGCAACAAACGAGACGAATATTTCTGCGAAAAAAATCCTGGTTGCCGTGGTCCACTTCGGAGAGGCACCGACCGAGCTGTGGTAGCGAGGCTGGCAAACAAGCCCTCCCGGGTGCAAACAAGAACATACCACGCCGTACGTGTCCCAATTACAAGCGCCCCATCAACGCCCAGTGAAAGTCGTTGATTTCCCGTGTCCTACTCGCCGTGTTCTCGTAGAAAGCTCTAACGTCGTATGCGTAAGTAAGTAAACGGTTAATTAGACGAGACCAGTGCTAAAATTACCTCCATCCGCAAACATAATTTTTTTTGCAGGTGTTGTGTACGTGCGCCTTCCTTTGCGCTTTATACGACAGTGGTTGGTTTAGATAATGATGATGATGTCTCCACTATGGCTCTTGCCTTTAAGGGGGATTGGCCAAGAATTGAGGATATGAAATTTAAGGCCTTTCAAATGACACGTAATCAAAGATGCGCGAGTGTTTTCTTCGTTGTCTAGACACACGTGCACACTACATTTTTCAAAAGATTATAGTGTTGTTGTTGATGATAATGATTAAAAAGATGACGAAGAAACATACATTTCCTTCTGTGGCGAGAAAAAAAAGGATTGCAGTCATGAAGAGTATGACGGGGTGAAAAAGTTAACCATCGTCATGTTGAGGAGGCAGTCGTGATGGTAGGGAAGACATGTTGTGGATGAAAATGAAGAAAAATTGTTTGTGATGGAGGATAATCGTCGTCATTATAATCAACCTTCGAAGAAAAAATCTTGATTTTCTCAATTTTAGTCATAATATCCACGGACTGTGATTTAATACAGCGGGCACGCAAACTATTGCCGGCCTGAATAATATAGAGAATAATACGAATTACCTTCATACTTAGACCTGATTGACGGCAGGTGGTCGAATGAAAAACCTGTTACTGGACTTCAACTGGACGCAACAACAGACTAGACCATTGAGGCTCTCAGAATTGTGCATTGACGTAATCTTATGTTCAAGGCTTTTTGATTGGACCCACCGAGTAAGAACATACATTTCTTGTGATCACTGTCACTTGTCACACGCACAACACCACACACACACACCCACACACACACACACATACTACTATCTATATATATATATTATATATATATATAGATCTATATCTATATATATATATATATATGTGTGTAGGTGGTGTGTCAGAGAAATATATATATATATATATATATATCTATATATATAATATATATATATATATATATATATATATATTTCTCTGTCTCTTTCTTGAGTGACTAAAAGAAGATTAGGAAACTGTTTCAAAGAAACATTAATCTGCGTTTTCTCTTATAAAGTTGCTTTTATTTATTTCGGCTGAAATACGTGGCGCAAGGTTGACCAAGAGGAAAAAAAAAAGACGAGACAGGCGCTCTTTCTGTCTCGTCTTTTTTTTTCTTTTTTTCTCTTGGTCAACCTTGCGCCACGTATTTCAGCCTAATATGTACCAACTAGCCCAACATAACGTACTATTAAGCTTCATTTATTTCGCTGACCGTTATAAATGTCTAACATGATTGTATTTTATGCTGCGCCACCTAGCAACGGCTCGCTTGCATAATAGTGGTGTACTGTGCTTACTTCTTGCGCCTGCAGGGCTCGGTGACTCTCTTCAAAGGAATTCGGCTGATCATGCCGTTAACCAGCGCAGCCCAAGAGATGTCCAACCGGCCAGATCAACCACGCTCAACAACAGACTACGCAAGATGCTCGTTGAGGTCAGTGCAACGTTGTGTTCGTTTAAAACGTTCAAGTGCTTAAATAACTTCTGCGTACACCGGCTGCTTCGAAACGCTAAGTAAGACTATGTGTCTTACCACAAACGTTTTGAGCACCACTGCATATTTTATGTATGACAAACTGCTAATGTCAACGAATATGAACAGTCGCAGTTGTACGGAGTGAACCAGGCGGGTGAAATTGGCAGCCGAATTTCGTTATGCTTTTCACACCTGCCACGTGTAAAGGCGTCCGTTTCGGCCAATTGCAGCCGAATCATGGGCACAAGCTGGCTGTTGTGAATACCTGTTTCATAGAAATGTACAGGTTTCTGTATGAATGGTGATTGGGGGGGGGGGGGGGGGTTTCACCTCGTAGCCCCCGCCCCTTGCCACCCTCCCTCCCGAATTCCTCCTATTGAAGCCCCTACAATGAGAATTCATTGCAAGGATGAGGTACTTGGAGTAGGAAGCTGTAAGCAACCACTCCCTCCTCCCATGTGCGCATGCCTTACACGCCATGGGGGTCTACTGGTTAAGGTTCCCTGCAGCTGACGTGAAGGTGCGGGATCAAATAACGGCCACGGAGAAAGTGCTTGAAGCCCGTGTGCTCAGATATAGGCGCACGTTGAAGAACTCAAGGCGGTAGAGATTTCCGCAGCTCTCCAGTACGGCGTCTCTCGAACCCAAATATCGTTGTTTTGGGACGTTAAACCACAACAATTATTATACCTAAACTTTATCGTTACGTACAGAACAACCATTCTACTCTACTGTTTTCTTTTTTTTTTTGTTGTGAAGTCGTGCAAGCTCTGACATCTTCTTTTCTTTTACAAGAATTGCTGCACTTTTCTCCATCTTTCGAGCAAAGCTGCTTCTCATGAAATAAACGTGCCTTTTCGTTCAGGAAACGAGGTACGGTACAGGAGACTTGTATGTCCTGTTTTCATGACACAATCGCGTGAACGATACTTGAGTCTCTGAATGCTAGACGCTACGCAGCAACTACCCACCACGCTTCTCTAGACCGCCGCACATCAGCGATGCAGCTGGCCCACTGAAACCGTGCGTATCAGGTTCTGCACCGATAACGACGTAATGTAAACTGGGTGTAGAGTGAGGGAAGGTGCGTGGCTTCTCGAGCGGAGCTCCGCTGGTTTCAGATAAGAAACGTTTTCGGCATGCCGGTCGGGCTCACAACATAGTAGGAATGGCGCAGAGGTTTTGCAAGAAAGAGCTGAAACATAAGTGCATAATATACAACACC